CTGCCAAACACCCACCTCGCCTCACCCTTCACTCCAGTCCAGCCATGCTCCGGTGTTCCTCCGTTACCCATCATTCCTCCATCTCCAACTTCCAACCTCAGCAATAAATCCCATTCTCTTAAAACCTAAATCCCTGTATTCGCTTTTGGGTTCTCACTCACTGATCACAGCACAAAGTGTTATAGTCCACACAGAATGCTGCTGGCAGAACAAGTTCTAAGTTCTAAAGTTTCAACTTAGTTCAGGTTTTTTGGGACCTGACCCGACTACTTATGTATCTACAAAAAAACCAAACAATGCAAAAACCATCACTGAAGGTTTTTGTTCAGTTTTTTGCCAAGCTTTTACCTACAATTGCTGTCATTACCGTTACTATGTTTTGGGTGTTTTTTATTATTCCATTATCCCTCGTAATGTATTTCAAAATGTGAACTGTAAAATGTATTTTCTTTTCTTGGAAAATATTTCAACCTCCATTTTGTGTGTGGAAGGTGCTATGTAATTAAAGTTTTTTACTATTACCATTATTAATGCAGTTATGGAACTGCCATTTGTATTGTACAAACCCATATTATTTTATATTCATTGTATTTTACAACAGTGGAAGGTAAAAAACGTTTTGAATGCAGGACTTACCTTAGCGGCGTATTTTTACATTACAACATTGCTACTTCAATAGCCTAAGTAAAGGATTCGAATAGCTCCTCTAACACTGGTATTCTATCTTTTTTGTATTGTAGATTTGTTTCTTTATCTGGACTCCATCCCTTTGCAATTAGTTGCCCACAGCGATCGATAAAACGAATCCCATCTTATCTTGAGAAGATAATACCACTGAACTGTGTGTCAACGTGCATGCATGCAACTATATATGCACGTGTCTGACTGTGTGTGTATGTGCATGTGTGCGAGTGTGTCCCGTGTGTGTTCACCCTGTCAACATTCCCCCCTCTCCACATCCTGTTGGGTATCTCCACCAGCCAGTATCATCTCTCAGCAGTGCAATGTTCACTGGTAACACAACACTGGAGGCAAATGAAATGCAGCGCAGACAGTCAGCTCTGCAGCGCCTGCTTTTGGTCTGGGCCTCAGACCCAACACCGCCACTGATTGCGTACCAGAGCCGATCCTCTATCTGCTGCCCGGCTCTTAGTCCCGATACAAGCAGATTGGACTTGCAGTTCAAAGCACATTTTTGTGGAGGTAGAAATCATCTCATTGGTTGAGTTAAGCCCCAGTGGCTGGAGTCACCGCGCTACAGTTTTTGTCTGAGCACAAGCTGGATAAATGTCAAACCTGAATGGCAAGGAACTCTTGTTATAAATATAAATTAAATTATAATGGCAGTGGCATTTTTCTCATCGCTTTATGACTGTGATATTCATGATCTTGCAAAGGGCAGCACCGGGGCCAATATGGCTATTTTTTTTTTGGTCAGATTTTGGCCATGCTTTTATTGAGTTGTCTGCATTTACTGGATGGATTTACTTGGTACAGACATCTAAGGTCTTTGACTTGATCCCCAGACTTTTCCTGTGGCGCCACATACAACATCAACCAGATGGACTGACACGACATTCTGTACATTTATGGTTTCTAAATAGTGTTTTCTAATGGCTTCTGGTGAACTTTTAACTTCATCTGATCAAAATTTTAATTTGTCCAATACTTACGACCAAATACTTGCAAAGCGAATGGCCTTCCTCTCAGCCTCAGCTGTTGCAAATGTAAACATGCTAACTACAGCTCACAGGACAGAGAAACGAAAAGTGGACGATGAATGAAGGAGACACAGTGGAAAAAGGACTAGTGTGGAGTTACAACCAATGATACGCCATGACAGCTGTTGTGTAGTATAGTTAAAGTCTGGAGGAGAGGCCGTGATATTGCATCGTATCATACATCAGAAAGCTTGAGTTAAAACTATCAATCTAATCCGATCAATTGCGTTTTAATCAAATCCTTTCCTGTCGGCATTACATGCACAATACTGGCCGTCTGATTATACTGAAGAACAGCTTGCAGAGAAAAGCTGGGCTTGTGTCGCAAATGTTTGCACACATAAAATCCTCTGTCATGGCAACGCTGCACACTTCTGAACTCGGCTTCGCTATCCCCAATTACAGCTTCCCAGTCCTAGTTTATCTATGTCTTCAGCTCAATTGAGGTTGAACTCAACCTATGAGGCAGTTGTCTTTGAAGAAATATCTGAAGAAATGCAGAAAACCCACGGACACACTACACATAGTACTTTTGCATTTAGGTATAAATGTCTCAGACTCCTCGGCATGCCTTTCCATTGCGTTCTGCTGTTCAGATGTTGTAGGAGGAGATGAACAAGTTGTTTTCTTGGCTCGCTGATGTCTTTCTAAAGGCCACACTCTAGCCCACTTACAGTATTTACTGCAGCGAACTTGCAAGCAATCATTATTTACTGTAATTAGAGGTAAATGCATAGGCATAATGGGGGAAACAAGCTCCACGGGAGGCCATGCATGACGAATAACTGCATTAGCAATTTGATACAAATTAAATCAATGGAGCCCAGCAAGACGATTTACAACAGAAGGGACTGAACAGCGAGGTGATCAAGAGGTGAACCAAGCTCGAGATTTGTTTGTGCAATATAGTCTACATTACCCGATCCGGCTAAGCTGAGGAGGCATTCAGCTCATTGAAAATATGATGGCAATGTTATTGCGAGAGCAGCCACTGTGCAACCGCAGCACCGGCACGGGCACGGCCTCTGCCATCGCAAACAGCCCGTTTTTAAAATGTACTGATCAGAGAGGCTGAGAGAGACAGAGGGAGATGTAACCTGTATTGCCTTACTGCAGTGGTTAAGTGGTTTTACAGTGAGATTGATCCAACCAATCACCTCATTTCCTCTCTCTCATCAACCGTAGTAAGCCAAAGCGCTGATAGTTTATCCGTCTGAGAAAGGGGATTTGGAAGTGCCAAGTGCAACACAGGAAATTATTCTGCAAAAGTCTGGTTGTGGCAGGCCTGATTGCCGGCATCAGCGAGGTTGACCAGCGAGCGAGCGACGAAGCGATTCTGAAGGACTGTTTCGGTGTCGGCCAACCGGGGACGTAAATGGATTCGACACAGAGCAGTGGTTGTGGTCCCTTCTTGTAAGGCTAGGGGTTTCGTTTAATCTCACGGCGCGGAATAGGAAACTGCTGATTGTTGGGGGTTTCCAAATGGTATGGCACAAGAGAAAGGACAACACGGTGCTAATGAGGAGCCGGCATCGAACGATAAACCGATTCGAAGAAAACACACGCTTGTATTTGAAATGTCATGTGAAAATGAGACCACAGGATAGGGCTTGGACGGAGCTGAACAAGGATGTTCTTGCAGGCAAGATGTAAAACAGCCCGGCTAAGTGCATTCTGAACGCTGAGCATTGTGGACTACATTTACAACACAATGAGCTTTCCAAAAATTCAATATGCACATTGACTAAAAATATCTTGTCTGAGCATGGCAGTGGAGGGAGCGACCAAGAATGAAGTCATATCCCTGAGGACTTTGGCTTTAGTCTCCTCCTCCAAAGCAATCAATCGAAGTGGAAATCTTTTCTTTTTTTGGCCCCACTCTCCACTGATAGATGGAGGGCAAGGTCACCACAGATATGAGTGTGTATCTGAAATATGTGACGAAAGAAAGGCAGTTCTTTCTACTTTTAGCCTAAAAGCCAGAGTGCACACTGCACACTGTTAAAGGAATGGTTTGACATTTTGAGAGAGATGCTTATTCACTCTCTTGCTGAGAGTTGGACGACAAGATCAATGCCTCTTTCATGTCTGTATGCTAAATATAAGGCTACTGCTTAGCTTGGCATAAAGACTGGACCGCAGAACACGTTATGTATATCCTATAGGTTTATGTTATGAGCACCAGTTTCAACGTCCTTTTTGAGAAATCATGTTGTTATCCATCATTTAGGTATCTAAATACTACAGTTACCATGCTAAATGTATGCCACACACCTTAGTTGCTGAATCCATCCAAAAATCGACCCAGAATTTATAAGTGAATTGATTTGAGATGCAGATTGTATTGTGATATTTCTTAGTTTTTTATGCTGCTGATTGAACGGGATACTTTCATGCTCATCCAAATAGTGCTCAAACAATGAGTCACGTAACATTCTCCACGGGGAAAAACGAATGGGACTTTTACTTCTGGAACCAAGGGCGCCCAAAATAGCTTCTCCCACTTTGCAACTCCATCAGTGAACTTAAGAAGGACAATTTTGTTACCTTCAATAGAGCCAAGCTAGCTGCTTCCAGTGTTTATGCACTGCTGGTGGCTGTAGTTTCATATTGAACAGACAGACATGACAGAGATTCTCATCTAACTTTTGGAAAGAAAGCGAATTAGCACATTTCCCAAAACTATTCCTTTTACTCCTTCTTCATATCTCAATGTCATTTGGCTACCTCTTGCTCTGCTTGACTGCATTTTCCAAATACTCTTTATTCTGCAGGGTGGGAAAAAAAGCCTATTTCAACCGTCTTTGGAGACTAAATGTCTCTGCAGAAACTATTTGATAATACATTTTTAGGGTCAGCAGCTTTCTAATCTAAGGTGACACACAACCTGTGAAAGGTCATACAAATACTCACATACCCGCTCAGAGCATTAGCATCGAGGAGGTGGAGGAGTGTAATAACACCTCATGGGAAATTAGCTGATGGCAGCAGCTAAGCTGCTCCCCGGCCTTACCTAAAGGGGCCGACTTATTGAAGAGCCAACCAAATATCAATAAGGGTGGTTTAGCTGTGCACTGCTCACGGATAAAGAGCTTATGCATGAGACCTCTAGAAGCACACTTGAGCTCGGCATGTAAAATGCTGTCGCTTCAAGCAAATTCCTGATTAAATCCCCCCCAACATATTTAGTTGGCTGTGTGAGGGGAAGCCTGGTGTTGGCTTTGAGGCACGGCTCCAACCACGGAGGAGGACAGAAAGAGAGCGCGAGTAAGGGGGTAGTATAGGTTGAGCGCTTTACATGCTGCAGATGAGTCAGTTTGAAGTCTCCCCTCAGGCCTTTATGATCCTCTGTGTGGTACAGGAGTGACACTCTCACAGATGATGCACCCCTGAACATGACCCTGGCACCATATGGAAAGCACCGATGCACTGCATCTGCAATGTAGTCGTAGTATTGCTGCAGTTTGAATTAATTGCTCAATATTATCATACAGATTTTTTTTCTTTTTGGGCGTTGTAGCATTGCTGTTGGCTGCCTTTTACGTGTCGAGCAAGTTTAATTTGACATGAATACATTGGCGAGAAGGGAAAGAAAAAAAGGAAGCGGTGAGAAAAGGAGTGTCCGGCGCCGCACCTCGTTTCCACGGTCAGCGACACCAGGGCCAGCTCGCTAAATGAAATATCACTTTAACATCTGCGATGCTGGTTGTGGATTTACAGCTTCTGCAAAGAGAACAGGACAACATTGCCTCATATGCATCATTAATTTTTATTACCTCTCCTGGAAATCGGTTCATTTGGCATTTGATTGCCATTTCAGGACGTTATTGCTGTTTTTTCAGGGATGCGCACGCACTCGTCGGCTCTGTGGTCACAGACTCGGAGGATGGAAAGCTGCAGCAACTCAAACTTGCATTAGTTCATTCTTGCAACAAATGTTTTATTTTTATTTTTTTTAACGATAATACCTCGTTAGACTCCAGCCGTCCATTCTTTTCACTTGAAACACATCGGTTCATCCGCATGTCTGTGCACTGACTGGCACTTACAACCGGCATGGCCTCGGTCTCTGCCTACGTGTCTCATTAATAGAGGCTGACTCATGTCGTTTTGAATGCGGGCGTCGAAATAGGGTCACACAGGCCGAGAAATGAAAGGAGAGGAAACCAAGGTAACAGTGACACTGCAGAATACGTTGGGCTGTGTATATAAATATATGCAAATATGAATTAATTCTAGTGCTTCATGCATGATTCATGAGACTCACGGGGTAGCATACACGCACAAAATTTCTTCAAGAGAATTGCTTTCTTTATTCTTTTTCTGCAGGTCTCTTCAGACAGCAACAATGTAATAACCTCCAGAGAGAAAGCACTTAGCAAAGACAAAAAATAAAATCTTCCCCCACCAGAAAAGGAAGTTGCTTTCTGACTTGCCTGAACATCTTCATCAAGTCTGCACGCGGTGAACCTCTTTGCCTCAGCTTTTTTTTTTTTTTTTTTGCGTCATCAGCAATATTTTAGACAGCATATCGCCATGATAACATCAAATATAACCTTTTTAAAAATGAACAATACCTCACTTTGGATATGTGATTAGCTCTTTGAGTGAAGGCTTAAGGTTTTGGAAGTAGGGCAACTCTTTCATATGCGATTAGGCGCTCTTAAGTCCGTCCTCGTGCAGAGAGAATGACAGAATGAGAGGAGGAAAGGTGAGGGAAGGCTCATCAACCTTGGAAATGTTACAGGCACTTGGCTGTGGTCGTCCAGGACCCTTTCCACACTCCTCTGGTGTGAATGTACAGTGTGCATAGGTCAAGGAGAGGAGAGCACTGAAAAGCTGCATGGAGAAAGAAAAGTCTCATGTGGGAGAGAGAAGGTGAAAGAAGGAAGGAAGGAGAAGAAGAAGAGCAGAGAGGATCAAGCCAGTGCAGAGCAGGGCAAACATGTTGTGTGTCAGCGCTGTCGAACGCAGTCAAATGTCTCACTACAATCAAGGCGACGCGGAGCTTTGGCTCGGACGCACAAAGCCGGGCCTTACTGGCTTACCTCAGCACTGCACCAGAGCGAATGTCACTAGATATTACCATGTGGACCACTGAGCCGAATCTCCCACATCACGGTGGACAGGGGCCGTTTTACATCCCTTCCTTACTCCCACTCTCCTGCCCTGCGGACACACACTTCCCTTAGCTTCCTGAAATGTGTCTGTTGGAGACATTCACATTAAATATGAATAGCCTCAATAATAAATGGAGGCTCTCAGAGATTACATCCTGGGTACAAAACAGAAAAACAAAAAAAAGCGATCCAGTGTTTGTGACACAAAGCTCTTAACATTCTCCCTTGTCACTTTTATGCCATTTTAAATCATTTGGGCACAATGTGTTACAACATAATGTTTTTTTTCTAGCATTTCCTCACTTTGCATTTGAGTGCTTTTCTTGTCCTTCCTGTGTGCCAAGTGGATATACAATGAGTTATTTCTACAGCACAATACACTTGTATGAATGTATGAATACAGTTTCAGGCTACACTATGTTATATGATGTGTGTGAATGGCATTAATTCCTGTTATACACAAAAGGTTTATACACAGAGCAGCATTTTAAGCCAAAGTCTCCTCCATTTCCTCCTCCAGGGACAAGTGCGCAGAGGAGTGGCTGGGACTGGATCTCGTTTTCAGGCTGATAGAGCCGTACAGTTTGGCTGAACGCTTGGAATAAGCGACGACCTTCCTCCTGTACATCTCCCCCTTCCACATGGAGATCATCAGCAGCGTGGAGAGCACCACGCCGCCCAGCGTGAGCAGGCACAGTCCCGCTATGACGCACCGGTCCAGGTGGGCACCTATCCGGGCGCTCTCCATCTCCAGCTTCTCCATCTCCCTCGCCGACACGCTGTCACTGTCCACCTCCACGTCCCGTGGCACAGCGTAGGAGATGATCACCAAGGAGATCCCGGTCACCAAGAACGTGACTGCACTGATAAAGCCGTAGTCTATGGAGGTCCCGGGGCCCTCCCCAAAGGAGAGATCGTCCTCGGACATGAAGGAAAGCTCCGGCAATATCTCAGAGCAAGGCTCGCCGTTGCGAACGGGTCTGTGAGTACTTTTACAACTCGTGTCCGGGCTGGCCACTTGCAGGTTAACATTCTCGTCAATATAGGTGAAAGATGTCTCTAATTCATCGTCGCAACAAATCTGGACTTTCTCCTCGCCGAGGTGAGCGAGTTTAACCTCTGCGCCTCCCCTGCGCGGCGCCGTCCTTGGTGCTGAATGACACCGGCCATGGCCGCTGCGGGCCGGGTTACAGCCACCCTCCCCCGGGAGCGCTCCTCCTGTTGATCCGCCCGTCTTGCGGACGTGCAACGTGCTGGAAACCCGGTCAAGGACGTCGGGAAGATCGGGCTGTTTGCCTCTCTCATCTGCGGGAAGCAGCACCGGAGAAGCCATTCGTGTTTCACCACCCGCTGGTTCACTCTGAGCCTTCCTCCCACGATGCTTTCACTCCACAGCATCCCTGATGAGAGGACACACACCACATCTAAGTTAAATGGTGCATCTTAAATATATTAGTATAAAGCCTGAAACCTTAGATCATTGCGCAAACACTTGTGCGTAATTTGGAACGATGCGCAAAATGCACATGCCTCAATAGTTTAAACTGCACCGAAATCATCAACACTTTAAAGTTGAGAGGATCGTTTAAGAAAAATCCGTGTATCCTTCTCGAAAGGCGCTTATAGTGGCTGTGATTAGCCAAATGCCTTCGTATCCAATTAGGAAAACAACCCACGCATTAACCCAGATTATGCTATAGTCTAATTCTGTTTCAGAATAAACACAGCCTAAATGCACAAGATAAACTGGGCTAAACCCAAATCACACGTCAAATACACGTACACACTGTTTACGTATACATTACAGTCTGCATCGGAGAAAAACATCATGAAATGATTTCCCACCGCAGCTTTTAGCACCGAATGCATCCAACAGTTCCATACTCCTGCACACTTTATTTGAATTCAGCAGAGGAGGTGAGGTGCTCCCCTGCATAAAGGGTGGACCAGTCGTGCACAACGCGGCTTTATCTGTCTCTAATCCCCAACAGAATCACCTCCTCAGACTGCACAAGTAGGAAGAAATAAACTCACCGCGTTACTCCAGCATTACCGCCGCCTTGTCTTCAGCTGGTGACGGCGCATAACGGTGACAGATAAAAGGAAAAAGCCTTATCAGTGGAAAATGCTTTGAATGTATTCTCTCTCTCTCTCTTTCTCTCTCCCCCCTCTCCCCCCTCTCCCTGCTCGATGCTGTGGCGGCGGGCTGCACTGACTGGAGCTCTCCGTTAGTCCCTCCCACACACAGCGCCTCGGCTTGCCCGCGCTGTGGCGCTGAAAGGAGCCTCGCTATCTGTGAGCCGATTGAAATCACAGGCAGCCAGTCAACACACAAACCATCAGTGCTCTCCCCCCAGGGAAACATTTATTGATGCCATATAAATGTCAGAGTACAGAGTAAAGCTCCTATGGAGGCTAAAAGCAGGTTAGTAGGCCACAGCAGATTAGAAAAAAAGACATAAAATAAGTCTATAGCACAATATACAGGAGCTCAAGTACCATGAAGTTTCATAAGGTTGCTATAAAGTCAGTGCTGGACACCACAGACACATTTGAAGTCCCTATAGGGATCACACAGAGATAACATGATGATGCCAGTACAGATATATAACAGCCAAAGTTCTCTAAGGTTATTTTGTTGGATGATTTTTATAATAAACAAGACAAATAGCACATGATGATGTTTGTTTTGCCACACCATTGAAGATCACGGACGTGCAAGCAATATTGTGTACACGGTGTGTTATCTGTTGATGCGGTCAGGGTATCAGAAAGCAAATCTGTCATCATATCAATACAAAAAAAAAACAAATCTGTCATCACATCAGAAAAATCCATCCAGTGGCACTGAGCAAACGACATTGTTTGAACTGCGTTTATCATGTACCATCTGTTCTCCTGCGCCCCCTTTAGAAGATTACTGCTCACTGCTCACCAAAGCCATTCTAATCCATGTTTAATCTGGAGATCAAATAGGTCGTCTGATCTGTGACCCCGTGTAAATCTTCAGGAGCTTCATCGCATTCCCGCCACATCTTCAGACTAGATGTCTTGGTTCCATCTTTGAAGATAAATGACAAACAACAAGATGGCAAGTTTACTTAGAAAGTGACACTTGGTAAAGTAGATGTAAAGTGCGGGCCACCATCAACCATTTACGAGCTTAATCCCGCGTTAAACTGAATATTCGCTTGCTGGCTGCTCCACCTTATTTTAGTGCAACCAGGCAGCAGCTATAAATATAGCTCCGCCACTTTTCCTGGAGTCCCAGTGGCTGGGTGAACGGCTTTGGCTCATTTCCCAACAAGGGCTCCATTTAACAGATGAGTAAAGAGAAAAGGGAGAGTGAGGGGGAGAGGACGACAGAGAGGGAGTCAGAGACAGACAAAGATTTACTCCACCATCTTTGTTCCAGAAATGAGTTTGCAGAGGTGGGATGAAAGATACTCCCTGGTCATTGACTGATGAATCATAATAATTTATGGTGTGTTTGGTCAGATTGTGGTCAACTTTAGTCGGTCTCATGCAGAGCAATAGAGAGAGGAGGCTGAAATCTGAAATCATCTGAGGGGGCAAAAGCAGCCAACTATCAGATGCTATCTGTCTGCAACAGTGCACCACTTTTCCTGCTGGCAAGGACACCAGGCTTGGAAGGGGAGGGGCGGCTGAGGACTCGGTGCTTCTAAAGGCTATAAATCCTCATAGTGTGTCTCCCGCCACAGGCATGGACCCACACCCAGAATAGACATTATGAATCACTGATGCAGCACTGCTTTTTTTCTTTAAGCAGTAGCAGTTATCAGAAGGTGATGGAGAGGGAGGAGGGAGGGGTGGGGGGGAGGGGGGGAGTGGTCCCTCTAAATACAGCAGTAGGAGGGAGAAGAGGAGTGTGACAGTGCACGTGTGGGAGTGTGAATTATGAAGTGAATTCATAGATGAGGGAGTGACTAGGTTCACTTCACCTCCAGCTGCTCCGGGAGCTGCTGAAGCTGGTCAGTGTCCCACATTAGCAGACTCTGTGAATGTAAATGAGAACAACTGTGAGAATGAGAAACAGGTAAAAAAGCCCGTAGGCCCGTTGCACCAGCTCGTCTTAGGTTCAAACTCGCAACACATACTTCATTTAAAATGTTTAACACCACACAAACAAGCTCTTGAGATGAGTTGTTCCTAATTATTTAAACCCAATAACCGCCAGCTGTAATGTAGTTATGTTCGCGTTATTTTGGAGTAATCGTAACTACAAGATGGCAACTTGTAAATAGCGTTGAAGTCAATATCCAAGTCACAAATAAACCACATTCACGGCGATAATCATGAGCAATCAAGTTGGAACATCCCTTTACGTCAACCTCAACCACTTAACCTAAAGGGAGAGATTTCAGGAATTTTTCTCTACGAAAGTGAAAACAAAGTGTTGACAAAATGGCTGCAGAGCCCCGATCACTGGCACTTACATCAAAACAGAATTGAGTGTTAATACTAATGCAGTTGATTCAGCTAATTTAACAGCTTGTTTTATATCTGGTTTCACATAAGGTCCCCAACTAGGCCTACCAACTGTTTTGTGTTGTCTAATGACATATGAAGACTCGTGAGTCGCACATATGGGAATCGTTCCCATTTATCCCAACTATCCCGTATAACATGAACACCCCATTACTGAACCAACTGGCAAAAGTTGTTAGCTTAATATATGACCCGTTTAGATAAATAAGTATAAATTAATTATGTTCTGTACACCTGACCTGATCATGACTAAAATGCAGAATCAATAATCATGACAGTCAAGATTTAAAAATTCCATTTAATAAAAACAACACAATATAGCTCAAATTCCCAAATGACTAGATCGGTTAGCACAAGGGACATTAGCATAATCACACTTCACCAGCTGAACGATGAGTCTACAGCTAACTCTGAAAAACTTTACACACAAACTTTGACTGAGGAAAAGCTGGTGCCACCCAATCCAGACCTCAACATACAAGAGACAAATGAATTAGTAAGACAACATGTGGAAGCAGCGAAACCCTTTCAGTTGTTCATACTTAATTTAGCCTTATTACACATTGAACAAGATGTAGCCTGTGTGTTGTGGGTCAAAGCAAACCTTCCCCGCCAGCTGCCAGAGAGCATCCAGACGTCAGCGGCAGAGTAGTGTGTCACAGCAGCGGGGTACTGTAGATTATTAATAAGCAGGTGTACCCACTCCCCCAGGGTTTGTTTGGAACGTCTGGCACGCAAACCCTTCAGTAGCTCCTAAAAAGCCTCCCAGAGAGGAGAGTGCATGCAGACAGCAGGATGACAAGGGGATTAAGAGAAAGGCAGCCTGATGTTGTTGTTTTTTTCTTCTTCTTCTTCTTCTTCTTCTTCTTTTTGACAGGATGGCTGGCGGCGGTGGCGGCAGACACTCTTATGAAATATTTAGCACTTGGACCCTCAAGTTCATTTACAGTGACTTCACTAATTGAAGTGGTGTGGCTGGCCTCAACAATGCAGACACTGTGGGTGTGGGATAATGGAAGCATGATAATGGCCTTCTTAGTGGCGTGTGTGTGTGTGTGTGTGTGCGTGTGTGTGTGTAGGCAAAGATTTATGCTTCAAGCAAAGATAAAACCTCACAGAAAGAAAAGGAAAAAAAAGCCTTTTGGTGATTAAGCAAGCCGACTGGGATGATTGATTCCACCATCTCATCGACCCGTCTTCTCTTTATCGTCTCTTTGTCATAATTAATGTGATGTTACCCCCTCACGCTACAGCTGCTTTTGAATTATAACGCTCTCAATAGCTCGTGATGATAATTGTCTGTCCCTGTCTCCCACCTCTCCGTCTTCACCTGGAGCGCTGGCTGTCTCCTACAGCCACTCTGATGTGCCCAGTCATAATGGCTTCCTAATTACAACACAACAAACACATTGTTTTTAGCCGCCGGATCCCATTTGTTTTGATAAACACACAGTCAAGTTCAGTTTAGCTCTGTGTATCCCGGTGCTCGCTGAATGGTAGGCGAAATCAGAGCTGCTGCTTAGTATGGACAAGGCAAATGTTTTAGATGGGATGACTTTCATTCATTAGGGTAAATGAGGAAGTCTTGAGTTCAGGCCAAAGACGTCATTTATATTTGGTGACTTCAGCGAGCCAATCACTGAGTAGTCTGCTGGCACTGCTGCCAGTGGTGGACTTTTGCTTCTGTATCTCTTTTGGGATGTTTACCTTGAGATTTCAATTAAGAACAAAAGGACCTTTTTCTTAAAAGCTGCTGTGGATGAATAATGAATTATATATTAACACTGAAGTCACGGTTGAGAATTTGTGAATGTGTCCAATGGTGAGATATTCAGTCACAACACTTCTTTATTTTCGCTGGTACAAATAAACAGGGACTATTCGCATTACAACTACAGATGGCTGACTCTCCATCACGGTCAAATATCAGCCTGAAGGAACTCATTTGAATAAACGCATGAAATGAATTTATTTGGAAGCAAAGGAAAGAGAACATCTTCCACATCAGGAAAGAGTTCAACAGCAGAAATACATAATAGGTATTAAATCTAATTAACTTTCGATTTTCAAAGCTCAGTAACATTTTGAAAGGCCAAAGCATTCATTCGGCTTCATTCCAGACCAGTGCATGGCTCATAATTATGTTTTGCAAAAAAAGGCTCAAACACAGCTATGTGGCAGCTGCTTGAGAAGCTGTTAGTGCTCACACCTGTAAGCATTTGCAATGTAGAAACAGGGTTATGCATTTGACCGTGAGATCACACAGACACATTGTTTCTTTTTCATAATGTGCCATGGTAACCTGGCTCCACACTCTTGTTTTATTGTCTCAGTAGCAGTGCTTGACCATGAGGTGGCAGTGAAGACCCACCGTCAGTGTTGTATGGGACAAGAACAGCATCAGAATCAGGAGCTGGGGAGAAAATTATGTCATTTTAGTGGTACCAATCTTTTCCTCTACCTCTCAACAAAACAGCAAATAACTGCTTTTGTTAAAAAAATGTTAAAGATTTTGAATGCACAGCTTTTACAATGTCGTGATGCTACTGTTACAGATGTACATGATCCCTATGCTGTTGTTCCTGAGCCAGCAGCAGAGGGGAGAGAGGCCTCTGGTGCGGGGACAGTCTTGCTGCCTCTCAGCCTAGAATATTGTGGTTGGTTTACTTCATGTTAATAAATACTATGGATTTGATTATTTTAAATGTGTCTTCTGTGGTTGATTTGGGCCAGTTGTGGAGTGTTGGTCTGCGGATGTTGGCGTGACACTACCTCAACTTAAACCTGCGATAACTGATTATTTTGGCCAGTTGGCATGGAGGTTGTGAACACAACATATTATCACCTCTTAAGTAGATGGCGAACCTGTTGGGAAACAGTTGCATATTTATTTATCCAGCAGTAACCGAGCAACATTATCATTCATTTGGAGTCGTGTTTCTGGCAACCTGGTGAATGGAACTTCCATATTCACACATGAGGGGAGCTGCAGATCATGGGGATAATTCTCTCTTTAGGTTCAACTCTACAAGTGACCCCTTTCACATTGTCATTTGATATTTTGTTTTCAGGCCAATACAAGTATTGATTATTTATTCTTTGAGTAAAGATCTGAATACCTCTTCCACCACTGGCACTGATGTGAACTGGCAGTTAAGTTTATAATCCAGTGGGATGGATCAATTCAATTAAATGAGGCCATTCATCAGTCTCTAATTGAATGGTTTTGCACTATATGATCATAAAGTAGATACTTAGAATAATGAAGCCAGCATTCAGTGTGCTTGGTTCATAGATTTGTACGCCCTAACCTGTAACAAACACATGGACTTTCGGTACTTGTTATTGCGTCAGTCATGAATCATAGCAAGCATAACCATAATGCATTATCAGAACCAATATTCACTTAAAAGGACTTGGCAAGCCCGCTGTGTCTGACACCTCCGGTGGATGCATACAACCTGCTTCCACTCGCAGCAATAACAAAATGTCACCTTTTGAATTGTGGGATCTCTTGACTCGCCGGCTGTGAGGAGTGATGGTGACCTGTCACGGTCTCCCACCTCAACACTTCAGTAAGCCCTCCTCTGATTTGGCGTAATAACCTCAGAGAGTGGGAGGGGGGGGGGGGTTTGATACAGAGGTGACAGTGAATTAATACTACATGGTAAATTAGGTGGACACACTGATATGAAATTGGGAGGATTGTGGGGTTTACAGCACCAGCGAGATTTAACCCGCTGAAGATAATAAGACCCAGGAACACTCGAAACCATGATCTGACTTCTACAAACACTGCCAATAATAGTCAGGTAATCTTACCGTTTATCCACACAGTCTGTAGTTAATCTGTCCACAGTCCAAAAAGCAGTTTTCCTGCAGACTGCTGAGCTCTCATTGCTCAATCAGCCTCCTGGGAAGGTTATATAGACAGCAATATAAACCGCTGCCTCGCCTACTGTGCTGAGATATGAGTCATTTTCATCCCCTGCCTTACTCTTTTCCACTTGAGCCCATGCAGCCTCCCCGGGAATAACAATCACACCAATCTGGAATAGTATTGAGCGGCTGCCTCAAACCTCAGCCAGTTTGTTTGTATTTTTGGCTAGGGGTACTGAAACAGGGGTGGGTGGAAGAGGAGGGGGGGGTTGCTAATCACGAACAGTTAAATCATGTGCGAGTACATCTCGGCGTGTTGTGCCACAGTGTATAACACGCAGATGGAGATGAATGCAGACAGTAGAGGACTTTGTCTCTTCTCCGTGAGAAGCAGCTCCATCAGACGCAATTTCCCTGCTACATTTAACACATGGTTCACATGCGAGTCAGACAATTTAAATAGTGGCATACTGTGTATATAGCACTAAATTACAGACACAGATTGAAGAAAAAGAAAAACTGTCATGTCTCTCATGCTGCGAGCATATTGGCACCCCCACATGAAATGACACCTCAGCACAATGTTGCACTAAAAAGTGATATTAAAGTGACCTTGTCCTTCTTTTTGACATTTATATCTGCTTCCATTGCTGTAATAGTCCTGTAATAGGGTAACTGCTTGCCTTTGGGAAACAATAAAAAGTTTAGAATGATCTTATGATGCTTTATGGGATCATGTTTTATCTCTTCTTATATCCCAACACCTCTGACTTTCTAGCTTATAGCTACAGGGACCTTAATGTGATTTTATCTCTTACTTTATTAATGCAGTAATATTAGAGGTACACGTCCTGTACATCTATGACTGTGTTCATAATATCTAAAGTAGCAGTATAACAGTGTAAATACTCCATTACAAGATAAAGTACTGTATTCAAAATCTTAAAGTAAAAGTAAAGAACTGTTATCAGCTTAAATATACTCAAAATATGACATGCAAAAACACTGCAGACAAATGCCCCCCGTGACTGATATGTTATTACATATCATTTTATTAATTCTTATAATTGAATTCATGTTCAAGCAGAATTTTGATGTTGTAGCGAATGGAGGTGAAGCTAATTCTAACATTTTTATTGGGTAGCTTAATCCCTAACAATGCAATTATAATTAATTAAAATTATTTTGTACACAGATCATATACTATTGTATTCGGCATGGCTACGTGAAGCTACAGCTGTCAAATGTATGTATGGGGTAAAAAAGTGTTTCCCTCTGATTGTAGAAGAGTGAAGTAACATAAAACATTATTCCAATCTCCAGAACTGTATTCTAAAGACACCAAATGTGTCTGGCTACATTTTTGGCAAATGTGTATAAAATGATGCAAACATCTACACATTTATATTGATTAAAATAAAATATAGGTTTCTAATAGGTCAATTAGTATCATATACAGTAGCTTCAATGACGCGTTGAAACAAGCTGATACAGAATATATACAGCCAGAAATATAGCAGTTTAATTGGTTAATTTACATCAATTAATAAAAGAAGAAAAAAAATACTCTATAATATCAGGTGTCTTGTATTGGTCTAGTACTCCTCTTATGAAGCATGGCGTATATGAACACCTTATAAGTATAGGCTACATAATACATTGTCACAAGTTTGGAGAAATGTATAAACCCATTTTTATACCGTTGAATGGTGTGTGTACTCCTTTATCATATGAAAAAAACAACAACTGTACACTGATCAAGCATGTACGTCAGTTGTAGCTACGTGTACACTAGAAAAAAAAATGTCTGCAACCCATCTGAGCTCCCTCAGCCCTTAGGAGAGGAGTCGTGTGCGGGTCCCGGTGGGAGCCGGTGACCTCACAGAGAGGCTCTGCAGGAAGCTCTCAGTCATGACTGCGTGAGCAGAGAGACGGTGAGCAGGGCGCAGAGCGACACCTTCTCTAACCATCTCTTCAAACTTCCACCGGCGACCGAGCCTCAATCTGCTTTCTGGTCTATTGTGTGTGTGTGGGAAAGGGATTCTTTGCGGTATCAGAAAATGTATGTGGTGGAGAAGAAAACGGGACTAGTTTGACCGGATTACATGAGGGTGGAATGAAGTTTTTTTTGGAAAGATTTGGTGCGAGTTGGACTTCTGGTGCCAGGGGGGGGGGCCCTATTATTGCAATGAGTTCTTGTGATTTAGTTTGACCCGCCTGGTGTGAATTTTTTCGTGATGGCAAACCTCACCATGGTCAACGTGACTGTGGAGAACGGCACGTCGGTGCAGGACAATCAAACCCTGGGTGTTTGGACCGACTACACGGTCGAATACAAAGTGGCCAGCGTGTTCCTGGTGTCCCTCATATGCGGCTTGGGGATCGTGGGCAACGTGATGGTCATACTGGTGGTCCTGACCACCAAGCACATGCGGACCCCCACCAACTGCTACCTGGTGAGCCTGGCCGTGGCTGACCTGATGGTGCTGACAGCCGCCGGGCTGCCCAACATCACCGACGCACTGTACGGCCAGTGGGTGTACGGCTACGCGGGCTGCCTGGGCATCACCTACTTCCAGTACCTGGGGATAAACGCGTCCTCGTGCTCCATCACCGCCTTCACCGTGGAGCGCTACATCGCCATCTGCCACCCCATCAAGGCGCAGTTCCTGTGCACCCTGTCCAGGGCGAAGAAGATCATCATGGTGGTGTGGTGTCTCACCTCCGTGTACTGCGTAATGTGGCTCTTTCTGTCCGACACCAAGACGTCGGCGTACGACAACGTGGTGCTGCTCAGCTGCGCCTACAAGGTGTCCAGGACTTACTACCTGCCCATTTACTTCACGGACTTCGCGGTGTTTTACGTGCTGCCCCTCATGCTCGCCACGGTCCTGTACGGACTGATCGCGCGGATACTTTTCCTCAACCCGCTGCCTTCGGATCCCAAAGCCGCCGGCGGCGGCACCAAGAAGTGGAAGAAGGAGACGGGTCAGGGGGGGAGGATGATCGGCAGCTGCTCCTCCAGCAGCACCACGGCTGCCTCCCGCAGACAGGTGGGTTGTGTGTATGCGTGTGTGTGTGTGTGTGTGTGTGCGTGTGTGTGTGTGTGTGTGTGTGTGTGTGGGGGGGGTACCGTTCGATCATTCATGGGTTATCACTTGATGTTGTGATAGTGTTTGTCTTTGTGCGCACGCGTGCGTGTGTGTGTGTGTGAGAGTAGGGGAGAACGGACCACAGGTCGGTTCGATCCCCTCCAATCAGAGACGAGTTTGTGCGTTCCACTCGCGCTAAAGTTGCTTTAATAAAAGCCTATATCAAAGTCAGAGAGAGAAAATAATGTTATTATCAAGAAAAGTGTATTAATGCACCGACCACCGGTCCTGTTATAACTGACCCTGCATACTGGGGCACATTTAATACACATACTGATCCCACTAAACATAAGGCATTTATGTGTTTTACTTTACTATTATTCTGGGTCTCACTGATCCACCGCTATCTGTAAAGGTAATTATTATTATTGCTAAATCAACAAAGTACTTTATGTTTTTTTGCCTTTGACATTTCTTGTCATTAAACCCAATATGTACGCAAGCAATACATTGACACTCCCCTTTGCCAAGTATTGTTGAAACAGTAGAAAATATTTCACATTTTAGAGGTTACATATGGGCTGTAAGGATGAACAGATGAATTAATTTAGCTGAAAAGTCATTGACAGAAAGGTTTAACTCGATAGCTTTAAAACTATAATAACAGACATCTTCATAGACTGATTGGAGATTTACCAGACTTGTGATGCCTAAAAAGTACAGTACATGCTCTAGTTTATGATCAACTCTCATAAGACCATGAGTCATGAGTTTTGAAGGTGATAAAACATTGTTAAGTATGCTTTTTTGTTGAGCTGTTAAAGAGAACGTTGGATCTCCAGGAGCCCAAAAAGAGCATAAGGGTTAACTGTTGACACGTGATAGAAATATGCACTCTATTCAAATTTGTTCGCTATTTTTTTTATATTTTTTTAAAAAGGATACAGCTGACAAGCTCCACTACTTAATCACTTTTTGACATGCAGTGCATCAAAGTGCTGCCAGCTCTCATTTACTTTCAGGTTTAGTCTAATGAACTGCACCTGGAACCCATTTCTTTTCTTGGTTTTCTTTCAGTGGAACAGAGCAGACTTTTTTTTTTCAAACCCTGAAGCACAAAGTCATCCAGCGGCTCGTAGAAAACAACTGACAAAAGTGACAAGACAGAAAGGGTTTTATAGTAAGAGCTCGTGGTGGAGCCACCTTTTGAATCACATTGCTCAGTGAGTGTCTATGTGCATGCTTGAGAAATACAATTTTCTTGTCAATAGTAAAGCACTCTGGCTCATTGTTTTATCCTCATCTCCCCTCTGTTAAAACAACTAAACAAACACCCACAAAGAGTTTCCACTTTGTTCAAAATAGAACAGAATTCTCTAAAGGCACAGCCACACAGGTAGATAGTAGAGAGAGACGTTTGTTTGTCAGATCACGGGCAGAGGCCTTGGAATGACAGGGGGTGTGGTACCCTGACGGAGCTACATGCTCTATTGGATTTTCTAATCAGTTAACTCCAACTCAAATAGGCTTTTGGCTTTTTCTCCATCAGTACAAATCTTTGACTGATGCACACCCACAAACACACAATCACATGTGTTTCTGTGGACACCATTCTTGCAATCTACCATGTATACTTTACTGCATTACCTAAAGGTCAAGACGTAATGAGGATGCAGGATTGGATATTTCTCCCACTGATGACACTGGCAGCGTCCCCATCCAATCTAATTATCCTCACCTGACTGCAACCGAGACGACACAACATACATATGGAGAAGATTTAGTGTCATTCAATTTAATTACCGGATTATCACCTGGTAATTATATTAAATCCAGGTTTTGTTAAATTGCCTGATCAGTCTTCCTTGTTGGAAATTGATTAACAACATCTGAATAATTAAGTTATTACATCTGAATAGTTTCTAAGTATTTACAGAGGAACAGCTTGGTGTGTTTATGGTCACATTGTTCAACCTACAAACATTATTCTCCTGCCTGACAACTCCTTCGCAGTTATCTTTCATAAACTTCGTTCATGATGCGTCAATCTACAAGTTATGAAGTTGTAACGCTGCTCTCTTTTGAAAAACTGTTCAACTGCACATGATCTTACATAGGAAATTCACTGACCTACCAGGGCATCCCATTTATATGGATTAAGATGCAAAAGATTTACTACGAACTTAAATACAATTCTGAGTTAGGATAATTGTGGATATTTTGGTATGGTATGTTTTGGTATGGGAACTTTACACAAAAACTCTGTAATCTGACATGTTTGTTTTCTCTAAAACAAAATTGTGGGGGAAAAAACAGGCTGTGATAGTTTCGTTATTTATGACAAAGGACTGACACATCTATGGGGTTAAATTTCTCGGTTAACAAAAACACAACGAAATGTGAGACCGCATATGTGAAGTCCTCATACTTCAATGATGGATTAGGTTGTCTGGAGGTGCCGTCTAAGACAACCCATTCACCACCTGCCACCTATTTGGTTGAGGTTTGTGAGCCCATAGCATGCAATTTATTATGTGTACCCTCAATTTTTTAATCGATGTTTTTTTGAATGACCACATTTTTTTCTTCGTAGATTTGTAAGTGTTACATAGATGATTCTATTTTGATTGTTTTCTAATGTCAATTGGCTGAATTGATGACTGTTGCCACTAATATGTCATATAATCAATAAACTGTTTTATTTTAGATCAGAAGGGATTGCATTAATCATTGCAGACTGAATCAGTTTCCATAGCAGTTCAGAAATCTGTAGACAGGATTGATTTCTGTAATTAAAGTAAGTCTTTGTGAGGACCAAATTAAGAAGTTCTCACAGGAAAGTAATCAGCAGTAAGTGAGGAGTCAAAATATATCAAGCAAATTGCCTCCGGGTGTACACTATATACTGTCCAATAGTTGTGACAGTTTTTATTTGACTTATCATTTAATATTGTATTTGTAGTTTTTGTACCAGTTTTCTTGGGTTGGTTGGCCTGTATGATCTGATTTGAGCACTTTGTTGCTCTTGAACGCATCCCACTGAGGACACATGGTGAAAAGTCTTCCTGCTGAAGCTGATTGTATGACATGTCCTTTAAAAAAGGAACTCATGTTCTGATGAATGTGTGACATCAGCAGGTCCTTCTAAATAAAATGACCACAAAATAATGAAGACATTAGTGTGTTGCCCTTTTTTTCAGGAACACCAAACTGAACATTCAGCACTTCTGAATTTGTCTGGCATTTAATCCAACCAGAATTCCAGTCACACCATCAATATTTGATCAGGAGCGTGGCTGGTCCGTGTTCATTAAACCTACTCAAGTTGACTCAAGTCAAGTGTTCATGTGGAGATGCAGCTGTGTTCACAGACAACATACTGTGTCAGTCAATAAATACTCCTCTGCCCCGGTGGAGAGAGGCTTGGTCAAAATTACTTTTTATTTTCTTGGGCATGACGGCTCCCCTTGTGCACCGACCCTAAAGTTGCAATCCTTAAGATTTCAGTCCTGGTTGATCCTGCGGTTACCGGTGCAGATTGGTTCAATACTTCAGGTCCCAGAATTCACTTGTTGTGTTGCTACTTTGTCAGAAATCCAACGGTGGAACAAATTAATTCCTCTGAATACTTTGTACGTGGGTAGATGATTTGAATTGGTGAAGGTGGACTCCGCCACCAACAAATGACAATTTTTAGAGTCGGTATGTAAAAACACTGATCGGATATGACTGAAAAAAAATGCAAAGCATAAATAGTATCAAAACATGGTCTCATTTCATTCACATATTAAAATGAATGTTGGCTGAATTCCAACTAGCTGGTTTATTTTCTGGCTCCTGGTATTGTGCATGCTAGCTCACTGTTGGACATTTGAATATACAAAGCCATTGTTAATACTATTAAACACCTGGTCTGCTGTGATGAAAGGCCTCATAGTGTATAGACACCATGTGCATGAAAACCCCTCAAAGTTCAATTAATTGTCCAATTTCATGTGATTTCTTTTTGTTGTGGCATTTCTTAATGCATGATTGACTTTCATTAGGTGACGAAGATGCTGGCTGTGGTGGTGGTCCTCTTCGCCTTACTTTGGATGCCCTACCGCACCTTAGTGGTGGTCAACTCCTTCCTGGACAAGGCCTACCTGGACACCTGGTTCCTGCTCTTCTGCCGTCTCTGCATCTACCTGAACAGCGCCATCAACCCGGTCATCTACAACGCCATGTCCCAGAAGTTCCGTGCCGCTTTCAAGAAGCTGTGTCACTACGGCCCCCAGCGCATGGAGAAGCCGGCCTCTTACAGCGTGGCGCTGACCTACAGTGTCATCAAGGAGACGTCCAACGGGGAAAGTCCCGACCACTTCGCTACAGAAATGGACGACGAGCTAAACGCACCGACAGAGCGGTACTTACCCGCCAGCATCCTGCCAAGTGCCAAGAAGAGACCGTTTGCAGAGCCTTCGCTGTCAGGTGGTGATGTCAAAGCCTGACTGAAAACAATCTTTCCACCCAAGGAGGATAACAGAGAGAGCTGCAGAATAGGTTCAGTCACCAATGGGACATTTTAGAGAAGTTTTAAATACCCCGACCTTCCCCTTTCAATTCAAGTTGCCGAAAGCAAAATAGGATGCCATTTGATGACTGTTAGCATTTCAAAAAAATAAAATAAATACAGGGAACTTTCATGAATCTTGCAAAAATACAGTTCATTAATAAACTGATAAAGCAAACTGAAACTAAATTGAAGCAAACTGCTTCCATCCACTTCCCTCTTCTTCTCCCCTATAAACAGATTCAGACCCTACAAAATGTCACGCTAAACAGAGAGAAGCTTCAGTAATGGATATCATAACATTTAATCACGATATTTATATTGGTATTTATCAAGAATTATGAAGTTCTTGTTGAGCTCAAGATTCACTTGTAGGATGCTGAAGAGAAAATAAATGAATGAAGAATCATCTAATCTGCAGACGTAATAGACGTAAAAGTTAAGTGATTAAATTATACTAAAATAAACATAAAATGTTCAGTCCTGTCAGTCTATACCTCTGAATCCCGCTGTGTGAAATGTTTACAGCCATGGAGCGTATATCTTGGGTCAGTTACGTTCGTCAGTGTAATAATGTTACAGTTTGTTGAGGGTCCCGCTACTGGTTCCTGCCGGCGGCTCTAATTACTGGTGAGAGTACAAGCGTCTGTGCGTGTTATCAGAGGGTGATGCTGCAGGTAAATTAGCATCTGACTTCCTGTTAACAGTACACATCACCTATCTGTTTCGTGTCAGACCTTATATTACATCTGACTAACCCTGTGTGGGACAGTTTCATCAACGTTGTGGCCCAAAGGGGGTCTAAAGCATTATTTGCACTGCATGATAAATAACAGGTACCCCCTCGTGGGGTAAAACTCAAACTGCCGTGACATCACCTTCAACGTGCAACTCATTAGATCCTGTCAACCAAACAGAGGAACGTCTGGACTTCGTCAATTTTCGTAGTTTTGCGGGCTGCCATTTTTTTATATCTTTGTCGAGTGAATACAAAAATCTCGGTCGCTATTGACAATAGCTTGGCTATTTAAAAATGATGGGTTTGTGCATGATGTTCTGATTCTCTCCGACCAATCAGTGGTCTGCAGTATTTGAACCTCACCTTCTAGCTTGGCTTGGCTGGCTTGGCTGGCTTGGAACCTTGACGGAGGTGGTACCAAAAAATAGTTTACTGGGTCCTATTCACAACTTCTGCTAATGGAACCCCCCCCCCCCCCCCCCCAAAAAAAACCCCACCAAATGCTTCTAAGCAAGTTGAGTTGAGTCGTGTTGTACTATGCAGTGGAAATTCGGTAGTCAAAGCAACGCCACACCACAGATCATTCCCTGTTTATCCACAGCAGCTCTTTACCATTAAAGGTTTTTATGGCTTATCGCTTTCTGTGTCAATACAAAAAAAGTTTCGCCATGGAAGTGCTCTTTTTACCGGGAGTTTGATGGAGGGGCGATATCAGTTTGGTCTCTGTGCATTCAGTGGACGGACTGGGCAGCTACTTGCTAGCTTGGTCCCAGCGCTGGAGGTGTGGGGAAGCGGATAGCCTCCAATGCAACTCCAAGTTTTCTTATACGCATGTTGTGTCGTATTAGCTGCCTGGCTAATGAGAATCCATGCATAATAGGGGTAACGTCTAGCTAGCTTTTGGTGGTCAGTAAATACCTCCAAAGGCTGCTTGCTAAACCACCACGACGTCTCGTTTTCTCTTTCCTCCACGTGTTGAATACATAAGATGTAATGTGCGGGTGTGGAGGCTTCAAAGTCTTTTAAAGTCATTGATGGACAGGGCCGAGTAAGGATGGAAAGGAACGGGTAACGTAATTCACTCTAATGACTTTTGTCATTGAGTAATTTGTAGTAAAGTATTGTGATTCAAATTAATAATATCTAATGTGTAAATTATGCCATTTTTCACACAACATATGACCGGTTAGAAATAGTTTTGTTTCTGTCTTGGGATTGGGTGGTATGCCATAGCAGGCTGTCAAGCAAACTTAGTTCATCTACACTATATCAAAGTCTCTAATTTTCCATGAATGGACATTTTCTATCACAATCTGTGTTTTTATCACCCAGCTCTAGGATACCGTATCATCTCAGTGGTACCCAGGTTTCACTTGTAGCAGTAGTCTTTCCTCTTTGTTCATGAACCTCTCCCCACCAGAAACCATGTCATTCAGATGAATCCAAATGCACAAAACCGTGAAATTTTAATCCCGCTCCCGAGAGAAAGCACAGACACGGGATTACATGACCTTTTGAGAAGGTCCCAGTCAAGAAAAGGACAGATAATACAGACAATCACTTAAACCTGCTGTGACATCGAAAAAAACCTCCTGAGCTCTAATGATTTCTGCAGGGACTTTAGTCTTAACAGGGATAGACACACCAAAGCCTTTTGTTGCTTTTGGTCACTGTGAAGACGACCACTTGGGGACTCCGTGAGGAGCCTGCAAAGGTCAGTGGCCGGTGTATAATTATGAGGGGGTAACTCTGGTGTGCAGACAGAGAGGCTGTTCGTCAAAGGCTCAGATAACTGTCGTGGCGATAATTCACTGTTATTGCCAGAGACTGCAGAGCGCAGCGCTTTTCTGATCTATCTGCTCCGCAAAAGCCCACAGAGCAATGATGGACCGTGTAAATAGAGTGCGACCGAGTGCCGCTCTCGAGTTGGTGCAGTCCACAGTATGTATATAGCTCACCCTGCTGTTAAAAGAGGAATTATCTGCTGTTAGTTTGAGCTAGGTATATGTATACATTGAAGAGCACTCAGAGGGGAATGAATACTGAGTAAACTTCATGCTGAGCAGTGGGCTCTTCTGTCTACACTGTAAAGTTGCTTGAAATTGATTGTGCAGTGCTATGTGAAATTAATTCAATATTGTGTTTTTCAAATGTGTGCCACCAGCAAGTGCATTAAAAAAAAAAAAGAAGAAGAAAAAAAAACCTTGTTTTGATCTATTGTTCCATCAGCGTGTTTTCTACAATTTAAACCAGTCAGTAGAAGCGAATGGGCCTCGAAGTCGAAAATGTGAGAAAATAGAAAAGTTAAAAAAGGTTTGAAGTCTGTAGTTTATATCGTAAAGTGACTCCTTTGTGCCCTTTTATTCATTTCTCCCTTTGTTCTCAGTCTAAAGTCATTTTGTTTTGGGGAAAAATCAATAAGCAGTTGTGATGGAGATGTTTTCTGTTCTGCACGGCACTCAGATTGCAGCATGAACGCACTGTTTTTGTGAGGTGAAGATGACAAAAATGTGATGTATTTACATTTACTTGCTTTGTTTGGCGTTACGTTTCTGTCTCGAGGTGGCTTTTCTTTCTTCTGCTCTTGCTATTTGATGGATTGTTTTGTATTTTGTATCGTTCCTTGCCCATAATAAACACAGACGATAATCGCAGCGCCTCGTGGATGCTGCATTATTGTTACATTTTCCTGTCTCGTAACATTATCTCTGTTTTTACCTCCAACTCCCTGCACCTCCGCTTCTACTGATCTATTGCCGGCAGCGACTAAAGAAGCTGCCTCATCCACAAACGCCATGAATCAGGCACATATAGCTTGGAGCTACGACCACACCGGGGACATCAATCAGAGCGGCTGATGGCTTTGTTTCTGAAGTCACTCAGCGTGTGGTGGCTCGCTATGACACAGATTCATCTCACTGAAGCTATCGGAGGCCAACTGTGCTGTTATCACAAATAATATGACACCCCCGCACAATTTATGTCCAGCTAAAGCAATATCTGACTCATCAAACCTCCCTCAATTTGGTTAGACATTAAGGCCAGAGAATAAATTACAGTAAATATCCATGTGGTGCTATAGAGCTTAATGTGCTGGGAGAGAACACCCTTGGAACACAGAGGCACTAATTGACGACTGCTGTAACATTTCATCTGCTGCGTGCCCACGAGCTGTAAATTCTAATGACACACACACACAGAATCTGTTTATATGACAAAAAAATACTCGGAATTCCCTCCGCATGTGTTGCTGATAGGACATTGGTATTTCTTACACAATCATAGGGTTACACGATGTATGCACGCAAATACCCATAAACACAAACACAGCTGTTTGCAAAAGTGTCATTCATATAAGGTAAAACAAATTACTTTTAAATTTGTTGCTTTCATGTGTACAAAGAATGCTGTTTCAACTGAAATGTGGATAGGATTCTTTTTAGAAAGTCACCGTTGAGGTTCTGGTAACGCTTTAGAATACAACCCGCAGCGTACAGCATAATTCCCCCCATTCATAGTGTAATTGTTTTGTACTAACAGCTACCGAGGTACAAGGGAACAAGACGTTAAGGAATAAGTGGGTAACAATCTGGGAACTTAAAGTGATTTATACTCTTGGTATTTTCAACTAATGGATACCTACTCTGTTTGTACAAAAAAGTACGCTGTAAAGTGGGAGGCGTTACAGTTGTCTTTTTAATGCAAACATTAAAATGTCCTCACACAAACATGAAGAGGCACCCAGGCCATTTTACACTCGGTAATATCGTGATCGGCACAGTATTTGGATAATGACATCTGACTCATAGGCCTTTGCACATGGTATTATTAAACTTTCTCGTTATCTCTACTCTAGTGCTCGGATGTTGATGTGAACATCAGTTTGGCGGGGATGGCGTACTTGTTAGCAAACAATGTTACCTGTCCCAGGCCAAGGTTTAGTGATTTATGCCTGTGTGATCTGACACACTGACTATCACAAGAGACACAACTATTGTACAGTCTGGCCCTGGCTTAAGAGACGCGGAGCAGTGGACTCCTATCTGCCTCGTACATCAAAATAAAAGAAATCACACTCCACAAGGTCAGAATTAAACTACAACCTTTCCCACTCTTATTTTCATCTTTCCATATTCATAGAGTTCAAATATGATTAAAATCTCTACTTTGCCATTGAGTTATGGTGACTCAAATGTCTCTGCAATGGGTGCTACTATTCAGAAAAAGTATTTGTCCTCAAACAACAGATATATCCTCAACCTCTTGTGTGTGAGACATTTGAAGACCCATCAGATGTGGTTCGCACTGCACTCTGCGTGGAAACATGATTGATCCATTAGAGAAACACGTGAGCAGGACCTTTCAGTGGGTGGAAATATTATGTGCCAAATGGACACTGTTTGTTGTGGCTCTGATTCAAGGTTGCTGAAACGCAGCAGGCGATGATTACACTCCACTAAATGGGATAATGCCACACTGAGGTACCAGTTATACCAGTTTCGCTCAGTATTAAACCATGTATATCCGGCTGTGGTGGCGGGCGCGGGTGGGCTCAGCTGTGGAGGGGACGGAGTGTGGGAGTGGTTCAGGGAACGGTGCTGGGAAGAGACTTAATTAGGCGCCGCTGAAACGGATCCTGATTGTCTCACTCTCGGCTGTATTTAATCACCAGTAGGGACGGACGCGAGGGGGACAGCTCGGGACGAGCGACAGTGGTACAGCAGGACGGGAGATCACTGCAAACTCCCGCGGCATGTGCTCGGAGGCAAGGCAGGAGAGCACACGGCCAAGCCCAGTCAGATTATATGACAATAAAGAACATTTGAAACCGTCACTCAACTGTGTGCTGGTGTCATTGTGCTCACAAGACCCACCGGGTAGCAGGGATCCTGTTACACCGGCCCTTTTAACAAATCCATCCCGTTATCCTGTGGAAGGCGGTGGTACAAAAAAAAACATTTACTGGCCACAGATCCAGAGGTTATAAATGAGACACTGAGCAGGGCTGAATTGGGCGAGAGGGTGAGACATCAGAATAATAGCCTCGGCGGTGGGCAGCTGCTCCAATGAAATGGCCCTGACTGTGAACCTTATTTATTTGCCCGCCCCTGCCTTTCAGCCCTGTTACCTTTGGAGTGCTGAACATTTTTGACGAGGAGCAAGTGGAGAACTGATGCCATCAGCAGAACGTTGACCAATTTTCACGAGAAAAGAATATCGCTGCATTGATGAACACTTTTCCTCTAGTACCAACCATTCGCTCCCACTGTGAATCGTGGCTCTTTTTCCTTCTCTGCAGTAGTTCATTTACATGCTTGTCGATTTATGCAGCCATTATTCTCCATGCAATTAATCTTGGATTGAGAAGATATGAATGGGCTTTTATTTCACAACACCGGCGTGGGTCGGGATGGCATTTTTAGCAGTAACAGCCCTATAAGTAAGAGGGAGAGCGGCTAAATTCTCTGCTCATTTTGACATTACTCC